CATTTTGAAAAAAAGCTTCCCTTTTGGTTTAAGCTTAAATGAACATTGAGTAGATGCTACTTTTCTCAGCGTTAGATTCTCTGTCTGAAAAGTATCATAGTTTTCTGAATTGTCATTTCTTGTTTCTCTTGTCAAATATGCATGCAGACATGCCAAAGGTAAGTCAACAAACTCACCACAAATGTAGTTTGTACCCAAACATCCACAAAGGGTGATTACCCAACCATTGTTAGCCCTCTGATAACATACTTCCAATCTGCTGAAAAATCCAAGAGGAGAGCATATAAAATTACACCACTCATACTGACTGACTTCTCTGTGTGTTGCATGGCTTTCAAACCATCCAGATAATCTACTAACAGGTGGCATTAGTGAGTCTTGAAATGGGAAGAAAGATGTGTTTAGAAAGAGGCCAATTTAAGAATTCACTGGGGCTGGTGCCCTGGTTTCATCAGGGAGGCAATGAGATGGTCAGTGGAAGGGGTGTGTGTGTGTGTGTGTGCCTGGTCAAAAATCAGCTCTACAGTTATCAGGGGTCATTCTGTCTGCCTGTGGTTCTTTACCATTAAAGTGCAGAGGATACTTTTTTGTTTTCTTTGGAAATCAGACCCATTCAATGTCTACCAAAAGTCAAATATCTAATTCTTTATTGAAACATGATTAATACTGGTAAATCTCTGTTTTCTGGTGTCTGAGTGCTGCTGATCTTTCACGAATTCCTTATAATCAGGCACTGCTCTCATGTTTTGATGCACAGTGATCTGAGAAAATCTGTAAAAACTTATCCCACAGCTGAATAAAGGGAAGATTGTTTGCTCTGCTATTCCAGGCCTGAGTTCTTTGTTTACCTGGGCTATTCGTGGAAGGGTTGAGGAATGGGGAAATTTGTTTGCAGATGTGATTATCAGCTACCTTGTTAGTACTGTCAGCAGAGACCCAGATCCCTATCATTTTCTGGTTACTACTATTCAGAATTAATTTCTGGGTGCAGGAAATTGGAGAACAAGAATGTACTGCCTTGTTCAATAATAGCAGAATCATGATTTAAAAAGAGTTGTTAACATGTTAATAGGGAGTTTAGACCTAGCTGATATTTCTCCCTCTCCTTTTTAAAATTAGAATGCTTCCCAAAGGCAATGTCATTTGAAAAAAAAAACCCAGTACTGAATTCATAGCATATGCAAGAATTGTAAAATATATTTGAAGTGTTTGGTACAGATCATTGTTTAGTATAATTTGCTTGGTGGTGTAAAGCATAAAGGCATGCACTCTACTCTCAGAAGTTGCTTATATCAAAGAATTTGATAGAAGACATCAACTAATTTTGAGTTCTCTACTTATGTATCTTGTGCTGCTGTTTATTTGAAATTTCTTCTCTTGAATGCACTTGGTCAGGTGATGGAGACATTGAAACTGTTTCAATAACTCTTGCTAGAAAACCTTGAAAAAGGTGATAAAACAGATTAAATACCATGTTTTTGTTTCCACTTGCTGTTGTGTGTCTCAAATATTCAGAGATATATCTCAAGTCACTTATGAATCAAATAAGGGGTTTCTATTTAGTGACTTCAAAAGAAGGAGAAGTAAAAGGTAGTGTAATGTGTTCTTTAAGAGAAAAAATAGTAGGTTATCCTTTTGCTTTCCTCTGATTTATGTATTTATTATTTATATGTATTGGAGTATGTATTTTTATTCCTTCTCTTCCTAAGTTTGTTTTACTGTCATTGATTTTGAACACTGGGTTGCTTCAAAATTCTCAGAAGAATCACCTTTTTTTATTCTTATGCCATACTCTTTTAATCTTTCTATTCCACATAAACCCCTCCTTTACAATGTGAAATTTCAAATCTTCTTTTTCTCATCTCCTTTATTTAGAACCAAGTATTGAAGTGATGGTTAGAACAGAAGGCAAAGAAATAACACCCACCCTCCAAACTGTTGGCTGTTCCTTTTGTCTTTTTATATCAGGTGAAAACTGGAAGAATGCTGATTCTCGAAACTTGCTATTTTGTTGTCTGACTACAGAACCACAGGATATACTGAGTTGGAAGGGACCCACGAGGGTTATGGAGTCCAGCCCTGCACAGGCCCATCCCCAAGAGTCACACCCTGTGCCCCACAGGATCATCCCAATGCTCCTTGAGCTCTGTCAGCCTTGGTGCTGTGCCCACGGCCCTGGGGAGCCTGGTCAGTGCCCGACCACCCTCTGGGGGAAGAACCTTTTCCTGAGATCCAACCTAAACCTGCCCTGACACAACTTCAGGCCATTCCCTGGGGTCCTGTCCCTGGTCCCCAGAGAGCAGAGATCAGAGCCTGCCCCTGCTCTTCCCCTCGCGAGGAGGTTGTAACTGCAGTGAGGTCTCGCCTCAGTCTCCTCTTCACCAGCTGAACACACCAAGCGCCCTCAGCCGCCCCTCACTCAGCTTCCCCTCAGAGCCCTTCGCCATCTTGGCGTGCAGGAGGAGCCACACAACTGAGAAACAGCTCATGTTATTTGTGGGTAACATATACTGGTCTCTTAATTCTCTCATCTAAAGTAAAATCCTTCTAAATATGATCGTTTAAATCCCATTTGTGTAATGTAGAGTCGCTAAATTGAAATTAGTGCCCCGGTGGTTTAATCTGACCTAATCTGAATTTTTTTTAAGCAAAATGCTGGAAAAATAATTACAACATGTCTTTCCAGGAATGCTTTGAAGTAGAATAACATGGATGCTAAATTGTTACTATAAATTAATGATAACAAATAATTATCTCTCCTTCATCTGTTACCTAACGAAAATTTTCGTAGTTTCAAGTAAAATTTAAAACTAGGTAAATCTTGGAAATGATACTTTCGCCCTCCATGAAAATGCTTCCTTGCAAATAAATGCATGACTAAATTTTTTTGGCCAGGGTTTCTGCCAAGGTATTCATATGCTTAATTTGGAGCCTACATTTCCATTTCTGTAATATAAAAAGCAAAAAGAAGAAATAGTCACAAACTGCCTGGGTGAAATATATTTGTTTGTATGATGTTATCACATAGACTAATCTTCTTGTGAAGCTAAGAAGATTAGTTTACTTCCGCCAGGAGACAAGACAACTAAGAGTGATATCGTGTAGAGGTCTAAAATCATGAATGGTGTGGAGAAAACAGGGCGTGAGGGGAGTACCACATCTGGTACTGGGAGAAACATATAAGGATTATTATTTGATAACAAAATATGTTGATAAGAAAAGAGAATTAAATGGTTCTCCTCAAGACATGTAGTTAATCCGTGGAATTCCTCACTGGGTGTGTTGTGGGAATGAAGCATTTATATCAGGTTAGTTGGAAAATGGAAGTGTCTAAGAGGAATCCAGTGAGGATCAGTGAACACAGAGGCAGCACTGCCTGCTCAGGAGATCTGTGATGATGTGGGGGATGAAATGCTTCATGCTGAACATGCCCCTGCTTTTGGCCACCACTGCTGGGGGTTGAACTAGAAGGGCCTTGGGTTCATCCACTACAGCCACTCTTATTTGATGTGGAGCTCCCCAGCATTACTTTTGACTTAGATTTCGGCTGTTTTTTAAAACAGAAACAACCTGTGAAAAATAACAGCTTTTGGAAAATATTTCAGTTGAAAATTTTTCATTCCCTATTTACATCCAAATTATCAGTGTTAGTATTTGCTGTTGTTCAGAATTATTAATTGCCTGGAAATATTTTTTAATTCTTAGTAACTAAAAAAGTAATACTGAAATCAGAATTGATCGACAACATATTTAGGCTAATTTATGTTGAAATCTTTGAAGCTTTAGTTTGCAATTTTGTTGCTGCTGAAGTTTGGACTTTTTATCTAGTTTGGGCTAGAAGATGTTCTTGGTATATGAAAATATTTTCCTGTTCAGCTCTTAAAAAGTTGAGTCAGCTCTTACCCTGGAAGAGGTGGACAAGAGCTAAACAAGAAACCTAGATCAAAGGATTCAAAATTCTGTATGTACTTGCTTATAACATGATTCAGAGCACTGGTTTTCTCAATTTTATTTCAAAGGGACCAGGAGAAAATCTCTATTACTTATGTGCTCGTCCCTTGGAACCATTTCACATATGGTGATATCATCATGACAGGTGTAAATTCTGATTAAAAAATATACAGTCTTGCAAAATATAAGACATTTTTGGATTCATATTTTAGGGTAGTTATGCTGGAAGTGGGAGTTCATTTTATTCCCGTGGCCTTGCTTTTTTTGCTGAGTGATCCTGCAGTGAAATCACTTGTCTGGTGCCAACTTGCTGTGTCAGAAATTCAGCGTGACTTCTGGGTCACAGCATTCTGTGAGGAGAAATATATGCAGCAAGAATGTGTGTTTGAAGCTCAGGAAAAAAAATAACAAAAAATTACAGGAATGAGAAGATAAAAACATCAGAACCTTTAAAATATTACACAGGGAGGTGTTGCTGAATTGAACTCAGTGGTTGGGCCATGGGACAGCCCTCCAGGCCAGACTGCTGCTCTGTTTCCTGGAAGGCAGGGGTGAATAGGACCTGTGAGATGATTGAGTGTTGCAGTGGGAAAAGAAAAAAAGGAATGTGGATGAGTTTGAGCTTTAGGGCTGTAGTAACAATTACAGTGAGATGAGACAGCTCTCCAGCACCAGGCAGGCCCTTGATAAGTGGGGGATCTGCCTACCCTGGGTATAATTAAATCTCAGTCTACCCAAATGGGTTTTGTTCGATTCAGGGAATAGGACTAAGCATCCAAAGTTCTCAGTTTGAGTAGTGAATCGGCACCTGGTCCCTTAAAATTTTTGTACCTCCAAGGAACCTGCGTTTTAGAGGAAATATTGAGAGAATTTTTAAGCATATGTTCTTGGGAGCTATATTTTGCTTTAATCACCCTCTCCTCTCATTCTTCTTGTTTCCTTTTCTCTTGCCTCTGCAAAATGTTGCTGTTTTTTTCCATTGTGTCCTTTGATTTTTTTATTTTTTTATTTTTTTTTAAATTATAGAATTGTTTTCTTTTACTGTTTTGGTCTGAAAGCCTCAGTTAAGCCAAAATAACTGAGGGGAAATCCTGTTTTTGCAGCACATAAGGACTTTTTGCTTTGACAATCACTAGGTGTGTTCATTTAAGCAAGAGTTTGATGGTTTCACTGATACGGTATTAAAAGGCTTTGATCATTTTATGTGTATCCTGAATTTCTCCAAACTGATCTTTCATAGTGGATGCCTGTAGGTATTTCTTCTAAAACCTTTGCAGCGCACCCTGTTTACAGAAGTTATTTCCATGCAACTATGTCTAGAAATTGGACTTCTCATTGAACATTGAAGGAATTTGATCCTCGTATCAGACTATAAGAGGAAGGAACATTCACTGTGGACGTATTTTAAGGTAGATTCTGCATATAGAACCAATCTTGGAATTTTTATTAATGCTGTCGTGCAATTTTTGTTGTAATTTTCCTTGTAGAGGTGAACTGAGTGCAGATTATAGCAGCTGCCATCACTTGAGCCATAGTTCACGAAACATTTTTCAGCACATTTGTCTAATACTCCAGTACAACACTCTCTTTTAGTAAAAAGGGCCATGCAATGGTGTCCTACAAAGATTTGATAGTCTAAGTTTGGGGTGAGCCATTATCAAAATTGTCTAAGATGTTGCTGAGCTCTTCAGGCTTTTCCAGGAGTCCTGAGACAACTATTTTGGAAGATATTATTTTCTGGAATACTTAATATTTTATGCATGGGACAATGCAAAATGGTATTAGAAATATTAACAGCATACAAAACTTTTTTTAGGAGTTTTATCCTTTTAACTGGTAAGACCAGACACCTTTGCACACTGTGATTCCAGTCCTAGAGAAAATATGTATAAAATTATTAAAACTGCATTTTAAAAGTCATGATGCTGAGGTCCAGTGAGTTAGATGGCTGGGCAGGTGATTTGTATCTCACTCAAAGCCTTAAATCTCAATTTCAAGCGAGATAAAGCTGCCTCTTGGCAGCACTGCAAGGGCACACAGTGCTGCAATTTTAACCTGTTACTGCAGTGACAGTGAGAATTTAGTTTCTGGGCCTCTGGTAGTATTTGAGGTTTGGGTGCAAAATTCCAAATTTGGGTTGGGGAGAGAAAGAAATACTTGGGTTTTTTCCTGGTAACTTAAAAAATTGCAGATTTTTAAGGTATTCCAAGCTCAAAAGTCTGGAAACCAGTAGCAGTAAATATGTATTAGAGGGCAGTAAATTAGTACTATATAATAGTATAATGATATGTTGGAGTATAATTGGGTTCCTAATTGTCCATTATAGCTATGTGATTTATATAATTATCTTACATAGTGTTGTCTAAAGTGCATACACAGGGAGAAACATCTATATATTTATAAAAAAATCTATTAATCGTTGTTAAATACTATTTATAAATACTACAATGCTTTATGTACTTGATAAATCATATGACATTTCCCTCATCATTACAGCATTTATTATGAATGAAATATTACTTTGGGCATTTGTCTTAGAAGGTTCAAGTGTTTAATATTCAGAGACAATATACAGAAAAGATCCAATTTTAAATCTTTGCTGTGCATCCATGCATTGCTGAACACTTTTTCCAGGTCCAGAGCATGGTTCTTAATGCAGATGAAGGACATGCTAACAGAACAGCTGCAGTAGTTTGGATAACCTTCAAAATGCTCCAGGACGTAAGTCAACCACTAATTTCCTGGATGAATGTTAATTTTTTTCTAGGTTACTCAGTATTGATGTATCTCTGACCAGATATTTACAGTGTCTCTGGTCAGATGTGTTGTTTCAGTTCCTGTAGTCGTGGGTGTTTGAATTCTGAGAACAGTATGTCAGATTGAAGAAAATTTTAACATTCACTTTCAGTTGGTTTATTTTTTATTTACATGGTTTTTGTTTAGCAGTTGTAGAGTGACATGAAGCAAACTGAAGAGTTGAGGTTGTTTTCCATATTTTGTCCTTTTCATGTCCTTAGGCCTCACTTCTGGGGTCTTTAGGTATGTGTCCCTCTGAGGTTAGGAAGGTTTTACTGAGGTGTGGGCAGTGTTGGTGAGGGTGGAACCCCTGCTCCCAAAGCAGGGCCCAGACCTGGTCCTGAGAGCTGTGCATCCCTGGAGGTGATAATGGAGAATTCAGAGGACCTAATTCCCCATACCTGAGCAGTCCAGCCATGGCTCTTGCCCTCCTTTGATTCAGTTCACTCACCCAACATGTGAGAATTATTTTTTCTTTCTACTGGATCAGTTCACTGTTGGCTTAGCAAGATAAAAACTCTTGCAGAAATTGGATAAGTCAGCATAAGAAATAAGAAAAGAGATCACAGAACTGATCAGGCAAGTTCTTCTGAAGCCTTCAAATGTGAAAATCAAACAGAGGCAGGATGCATCTAAAGGCTTAAGCAAAAGATTTGTCACCCAAAAGCAGTGATTGTATAAAAATTTACATTTTAATTTGCTCAAGATTGTTCTGTGAAAAATAACACAGCCCACTTAAACCTTTTCTTATTTTTCTATTAGCATAAGAAAAAAACATCTTTGAAAGTGCCTGGAAAACTGATTTTATAATCTCTGTGTTCATTTGACTAGCACAGAGTTATGTAGGCTCAGAAGTTAAAAATTCTCCAAATAGTTACAAACCAATTGTATTTGGGCACCAATGTGAAACTTCATAGAATTGACTGGGAAAACCTAATGAGATTCTTGAAAGACAGCTGGAAGCACATTCCTCTCTGATGCTTGAGAGCACAGCACAGCCAAAAAGTCTCATGAATGCAGTGGGGGGGGAAGGAACAGCTTGTTATCAATCCAGAAATGGCCATCTCACATTCACCAACCCAGAAAAGAGATCAGTGGCTCAGCTGAACAGCCAGAGAGCCAGTTCTGCTTCTTGGTGAACAGCTGCCCTTGCTGAACATGGCAAGGCTACAAACAGCACTAGAACCACGTCAGAGTGGCAGATTGTCCCAGCCCTTCTGTGCAAAGTGGAGATGTGACACAAAGGCATCAAGTAGCTGTGTGAGGGCACAGAAGGGGGCAAGGCTGAACTGTGGGCTCAGTCCTGTAATATTCTGGGCAGGGGCACTCCATGGGATACAGCAACAGCTGGCTGCCACTGCAGATCAAAATCTCCTACCTACGGTTCTCTGGGACGTGGGGACACAGCAGGAACTGGAGAAACGGAAACCTGAGTGTGTAAATGTGGAGATTACCTTTCTGCATTATCCTCTTAACTGCTCAAGATGGTCAAAAGCTGCTTTACCATATTGTGCATAGGTGGTGCACATAACACTACAACTCATGCTTCTGACTTAAGTTGGCATGTTTTGTCTAGAATCTGTCATATTTTGTAGGGCAAAGAAAGTGGAACTGCTATTCATATGCGAAGACTTAAAGACACAAAATGGGAGGAAATCTTGTACAGAACAGTAGTTAAAGGTTATTCCAGAAGGCATCTTTCTTTTCACTATATATAAATTCACTTTGCAGGTTAAAAACCACTTTTTTTTTTTTTTTTTTAAATAAACTTCTGTAACAATAGAAAAAAAATTATTTGGATGCAGAGTTTCCTTTGTATATAAGAACCTGAATGTGCCTCTGAGTGTATTCAGTGCATATTACAGCAGTGGACTGACATCCTTGTCTGCATCCATCTGTACCACCAAAGAGGTTACCACCTCCACCTTTTTGTCACCTCCCACCAGTCAGAAATTACCACCCTTACTGTTCTCTTGCCAGTGCTCCAAGGTTGGACCATTGCCTAATTGCTGCAAGGAAAAACAGCTAGGTTACCTCACATCACCTATTTTTAACTGTTTAAACTATTCTAATTTATATTGCTTGAAAGAAATTAGAGCATGCTTATGTGAACTGACTTACTGCATGAGCTGGATAAAAGGGGAAAGTAAAAAGTGTCAGGAGATGATGGAGGTGGGAAGAGTGCTACAGGCCGTGCTCCTTGACTGAGCAAGGTGTTTGTTCATGGCCTGGGACACGTCCAGTGTAAGGATTCAGTAACTTCTGGAGATTCACCTTACTGATTTTAGCTCTTAATTCCTTTCACTTTTAAAATGGAGGTCAGGTGTATTGGCTTGTGTGCAATGTTCAGTTCTACTCTGGACATTATAATCTTTTCACTGTAGCACAAATGTACAGAAATTAGCTATAAATAGACAGAACCTGCACATTTTATTGTCATCTTACAGCGAGCAGTAATATCAAATATCTGTGGCCAGAAATAATATCTAATTGTTCCCTTTTATTAAACTACAGAAAACTCTATAATGATACCAAGGCTGCCTTTTATCTCTAAGCCATCATTTGGTTCATCTTTAGTGACCAACCTGGGCACAGTCAAAAGATAAACAGAATTATTTACCTCTGTGTGTCATGCCTGGAACACCAAGTAGGTGAATTTATCACCTTTGTTATTTGGCACTACATTTGAGTTCAGCCTAGAATTCTTAGAGCTAACTTTTTACATAAAAAGTTATAGTAACCACAGTTTATGGGGTAAGTCACAGGAGGTGATAATGTCTTATACACTACCAGACCATTTTGTTTTCCCTGTCTCCTCTCTCTAATTCATTGCATCATTTCCTTTTCTCTCTGGTCCCTCTCTTCTGAGCTATGATAATATCCAGTAAACATTCATATCAGATCCTCATTTAAAAAACCCCAGATTGTGTTTAATATTTGCTTTAGGAAATATAGCCTCTTGTTGCATTGTGCTGTTTTATGTGGCCTGAGTAAATCCACATGCCCATATGCAATTCAAATCTTCCCTGTCATACAGCAGAGCAACCAAATATAGCACAGTGACGTGTGGTTTCTCAAAAAAGATGCTGTTTGCACATGGAACATTCATCCTGTCCTCACAGCAAGTTCTAGAGCTGAGGACTCTCCAGTCTCTCTGAATCTCTTCATGTTTTGACAGTCAAAAACCAAACCAAACCAAATTCACCATCACCTCTGCTAATTGGTCAGTATAATTCTGCATGGTAAAAGAAATTGTCTCAGAGTGGAGACTGCTTTTTAGGCTGGAATAATGGGAATATTTCAATGCCAGCTGCCAGCAGTGCCTTTGTTGACTGCAGAGTCAGCTTCAGCCAAGTTTGTTCTCATTCACATGTACATCTTGGCTGTAGAATGGCATTTCTGATCTGGTAAAAAATGAGAAGTGAGCTCAGCATCACCAGCACACTAATGAACCCCAAATTTCCTCCTAGCTGCTGGTAGGCCAGTGAATTCTGCTGAAGGGACCCCACAGCCCTGTGACAAGGGGGCACATACTGAGACCACAGTCACACCATCCACTTCTCAGGTTCTCCTTGGAGACCTGTATTGAGAAACACAGAAAAAAGTCTATAGGAAAAGCCCACTCTGCTCCACTGAGGCAACAGTTTTCTTGGGTTTATCAAAGGCTCATCAGTGTAATGAAACCAGCATGGACAGCTGGACACAGAATTTTTGGTTAAGGAAGTCTGCAATGACAGCATTCTGCCCTTCACTGACAGAGAATAATGACAGCAGAAACATTCTGTGTCACTGATTCACTGTTCTAGTGCTCCTCATATTGCCATGAGGAGAGAAATAAATACAAAGTGCATTCCTACTGATATCTAGGACAATGTGGGAATTAATGGTGTAGTGACAGAGGAGCAAAAGTCTAAGCATCCACATTCCCTAGACCAGCTCATCAGACTCTTGTCTGTGCTGCTGGAATTTTTTTCCTCTCTATAGTGCACATCATGGATTTTGATTGTAAGAACTATTTTCTTTCTATTCTTTAATGACAGAAGAAATGAACACAGGATGATTTTTAGCCAGGGAATTGTGGGTGTTGTTTCATTTTCTTTAAAAACTAACATAGCAGCTTTAATTAAAAAGAAAAAAAAATGTTGTTCAAGAATGATAAAATCATTAAAAAAAAAGAATGTTGCTAGCAATAATTTTTTTACTGTGTGACCAGACACTTGAAAAATTTATTTCTAGCAGAAAAAATAGAGGGTATATTTGAACCTAATTCAACACAGAATTAGTTGTTACTAGACTGAAACTACAGGGCAATAGATTTGGGGGATCCTAGGGGGAAAATCTTGGTTAATGAGTCATTTTGTAATAAATGAGCAGGTGAGTTTGGCCGTGGTTCACAGCAGACATGAGATCTTACTTGTGCAGCTTACTGCTGTGTTCTCTTTTCCAAGTACTAACTTGCCTCTGTTTTGGAAAAAACAAACAAAAAACCAAACAACTTCGTGGTACTAAAGTATTCTGATAGCTACAACTCCAGTGAGCATTAGCAGAAGCTGAGTGTCATTGGTTACTCATGACCATATTGATTTTGATAGAATAAATACGAGGAGAAAACGAGGTAAAAGTGCAGACATACAAGCAGCTAGGCAGACATGTAGATAATAACTCTCACTGTTGGTGATGACATTTGGTATTGAGAGCTGTTACTTCTCAGCAAGAAGGTCAGGCTAATAAAAAGCTATGAATTGATTTGACCTGGCATGTTTAAGAAATGTAAATTTTAAACAAAAGTATGCAGTCAGTAAAGTCATTGTAGAGGTTCCATTATTTTCTTCTGGTTTTAGAATTATTGATTTTCTAAGAGTGTTAATAAAAGTATTTCTCAAAAGGAATTGAGAAATTATATGTATTTTCCTGTGAATGAAAATGCTGCTGTATTTCTGCCGAAATGTTAGTGAGGTACTAAATTAGTTATTTCTTTAATTATTTATTCTGTAAAGTCTTAATAATTTAAGTGACTTAACCTAAGGAAAGAAAGAAAAATAAATAACTTCCATCAACCATCGAGAGTGTGATAAGCCAGTGGAAAGTGGCAGAAGAAGGCTTATGATAATTTAATTACAGTAAAAAAACCCAAACCCCAATTTATACTGAACTAATTGGAGAAATGAAATCCAAAGAGAACTTTAAAGAAAAAAAACCCTAAAACATCCCCTCCCACTCCACTTCAGTTTTAGTTCAGTGCTGTGATTGTTATCCTGCCTATTTTGAGTGTTCCTGGTGCAATCTGGACAACACAGACAATCTGAGAATTTATAATCCAATTGATTGTGAGGAACACATTGGCTGCTGTCACTTTACAGACTTTTCCTATTGATCCATTTTCTGTACAGTGTCTAATATTGCTGATGGTACATTGTTGTGATTGCATTTAATGATTAAATTGACATTTCAGGCTTGGCTGTTTGTCATGGGGGGTTTTGTTTTGTTTTGTGATGCTCTTCTTTATTTTTATTTTTAAGTTTGCATCTGATAATAGACAGTCCATGTGCAACTGTGCTGAGTGCTGGTGTATATCATCGCTTCCCAGGCCCCTGTAGCTCTCAGCTGGAGATATATCACATGTTTTCCATGGGGCCTGGGTCAGTGGTTATAAATGGAAGTGAAGCTATTTGTTGCCTTTGTTTTTCATTTTGTTTTGCAGCAGCATCATGGATTTTGTTCAGATTTATGGGAGACTGCCTCAGCTAAACAACTGCCACTGCAAGCAGCAAAAGTCACACTCTACTCAGTTTATTTTGAATTAGAACCATCTATTACCCCTCTACAGTGAGTTTAATAACTCCCATAATTTTCTGCTATAGATTCACATAAAGGGCATGTTAGTTTTTAAAAGAGAAATACATTTTCTCCTACCTGGGCCTGACAAATCTATAAGCCAAACCTTCCATTAACTAAAAGAAGAATTTCCTTTATTTTACACAGGTTCATTTCTAACCTTTAAGGTAATTAGCTGTAATTATGCTGCTGTGTAATTATAGTGTTGATATTCTAAGTATTCTGAATTTTATTCTTGTTTCTGTGGTGCTGCTTAGACCTGACATAGTAGCTGTGCTGTGGCCAACTTTTGGTGTGCATTTGTTGAAATATAGGGATAATTATTCCTTAAAATGAATGTTCATTTTGTCATAAGCATAATTCTTTCTCAGTCTTTCAGCTTTATTGCTTCTTTTATTAGCAGCTTTGCAATTTATTTAATCCTAAACAAAGGCTTTTTGGGAATGGAGGTAGGGATTATTTTGGTTTTTATTAACAAACCTAATGCTCTTAATCTTACACAAGTATGAGTTTATTTGTATGGGCAGGCTCTGCTCCACATGCATTTTGTAGCTGCCACCGTAGCCGGACAGACCTTTTCAGGACACGGGGAATAATTGGTTGACATAAGAGGTTTGCAGTTGTTTATACAACCTCTGTCAGAACGGTTCATTTTATAAAACTGTCCTGGGAGATGCTCTCCCACCCTTGCCAAAACCTTTCCTAGTCTGCCACATTTAACTGACACGGAATTTTCACATCAGCGTGTTTTTGTGTGTATTTCCTGGTGGATCAGACTGCCAACTTCAGAACACACTGGAAGCATCCCAGAAATCCCAAGAGAGATCACAAGGACAGGGCAGCATTTCTCACAGTGCTTCAGTATGTTTGCAGTTCCAACTGGAATCGAGTGGAAATGAAATAACAATAAATTAAATTTTAATTGCTTTTTATCTGTTACATTCTATTCTGTGATCTGCTGGATGGGCTTGATGGAACTGACATGTTTCCTTCATTTATGGAGAATAATTCCTATGTCCCTAATAGAGTTCTCTGAGCTCAACTTTCAATGACAAATTCAAATAATGAAATGTTATTTATCTGAAATATATGCCTGAAATATTTGTGAGGAAAAAATATAATTTAAATATTTCCCTCCAAATTCTAGATAGAATGAAATATTCCCTCTTATTAGAGGAGAAGTGGAGACTATAAGGACTATAAACATGCCATTAGAAAATGAAATTCTAGTCCACATTTGCTTGTCTCTTTTGTCCCTGACATGAAGCTGAAAGAACTGAGGTAAGAAGTTCTCAGCTGTGGGCTCACAACCCACTGGTATTTCTGCTGTCCTGAAGTCCAGATGGAACCAGTGTAGTCCATAGTTGGTTCATAATCATTTAAAGGGATATTATTATCTACTGTAATGAAGAAGAGCAACCGGGCCAGTCTGT